ACCACCGAAGACTAGATTGTCAGGCTCGGCAAAGACCACGAATGTGGATCGAGCCCTGGCCGCCTCCGGTCCTGCAGCCATACACTCCTCCAGAGCCCGTTGCCAGAACTTAGGTCTCAGCTCGCCCGACAGTGGTCCTCTGCTGGGCTCTTCGGATACCTCCAGAAGGTCCAACTGGATGGGCCTGGCTTACTCCCTACCCGAACGTGAAGATGCAGCCCTCCGTCCGTCGAGTCCAGCTGAGTGAGCAGAACGCAGCTGACGAACTGCTCGACGAGCTGCTGTTGGTCGGCGGTTGCGAAGACGAAGACACCAACCAGCTCGACATCCGCGTCACGCGCCACGAAATTCCTGAGGCACTTCTCATCCCCTCTGGAAAGACACTATCCAACCTCACCTAGCCTGCTGAGCATAAGCATTCAAATGCGTATACGCTGTATCAGCCTTCGTCCGCTGGGCCTCACAAGCCGCTAACTGGGAAGCTCCTGCGTCGCTCCGCCCTCCTTCACTGAACATTGGACGTATCCCATTGTCAAGATCACCCATCGTCCCACCCGAGTAGGGTCGCCTTGAGATGTCGTATTTGATGTTGCAGTTGCAGTCTATCATCTGTGAAACCCTTATTTTTCCCCTCGTACTCCGCAACGACGGCCTTCAGCTCCTCCTCAGCCTTTCTCGTCCTCGACTGTACATCCACGACCTCCTCATGAATCTTAGCCTTTCTCTTCTGAAGGCATTGTATTGCCACTACCGTCTTAGCACGAAATTTCATAAAAGTTCTGTCGGTTCTATCCTGCCCGGTGTTGGAATGTCTATGTTCATTTTCCTCAGCTAAGCTCGACATCAACAAGAATATCCTCATAATTCTCATATTGTCGCCAACACACGTAGTTGACCATGTGCATATTCTCCCATACTGATAATCCCTCATTGAGAGATGTAAAAGAGGTCCCGAGTCGGGACTCCCGACTGCTCTACTAAGGCCATGTTGCAAGAAACCTCGAGCAGAGTCGAGCATGGGGCCCCCACGGTTGGGCCCCATGCTCTTGAAAGGACCATCTCTTCAAGAGATGGTCCCTTTCAAGAGAATCAAGAGATCCTCTTGTAATTCCGCAGTGCATGATAGTTGACGAACAATATGGGAATCACTCGGAATTCCTATTGGGAACTCCTTTCGCGTGATCTTAACACCCGAGATCGGCTTGACTTTGCACAGACGAACGATCAAGAAGCGTTGCATGTACGTCAATTGAACCGTTTGACGACAAAACCACCAAGTAAATTCGGTACGACATTTCCCTATGTAGCCGATCTTGCGTTTGACGATAGCTCAGTGCACAAGGCGTTAGAAAGAGCTCGATCAGAGCTTCCAGATGATACCCATTTTGCTTATCAACTGCGAGATTTCAAGGGATAAGCCCATTTTTTGCACCGCCCTGTAGAAACCCACGAAGTTCTCTTCGTCAAGTCTCTCCTTCTCCCATTTCAATTCAGAGATCCTCCCTGTCAACTTACTAGCCATCTCGTTATACCTGGGGCACGCCCTAGGAAGGAACTCGACTATTCGTTGCTCACTCCAACGTCAAGGTATCCAGCCTGTGGACCACGCCTGACTGTGATGACCGCTGTAGCCACGATGAGCAGACGAAATAGACACTACATATTGACCAGAGCACCTACGAGGTGCTTTTGGGTCACTCACGACTAACATGATCCAGTGTGGTTGACACGAGGGACGAGCATCTCATATACGTGCGTAGTAGAGGCCTATGCTGTTTATTCAGTTCCCACGACTCCTACCATGCCTGCCACTATTGCACGCCTTCGTCTTCCTTCTTGAAGGGAGCTCAATATCTTCTTCTCTACTGCTTTGTACAGGCTTATGCTGTGAGCTCCTTTGGCAGAGCTGTCAGCCCCAGTGCCCTCGGGGGCATCATGATGATGGTGCGAGCCTCTCCTCCTACTGGTAGTCTCAGTGGATCCCCATGCCGCGGCAAGGAGCTCAGGGTCCGTTGCTGTGAGCATCTTGATACACTGCACAGGTCCAGCCCCCCTCCCATGACGTGCCGCAAACCCAACACTCTACCTATAAACCCATCGTGTACTATGGTGAAGATAAGCGTAGACACTATCCCTTCAGTAGTTGTCGAAGCAACGCATAAGAGGGACATATGCTGGAAGTATGAGAGTATGTAATATGAATCTGTGTATGAAATTTTAAAATGTGATTTTTTCACGCACGATTATGTCCACCTCCTGTAGTGTCATGAGAATCCGAATCCTTCCTCATGGTCAGCCATGCGTTAACCGACTCGTTCAAGCATGAAAGTGTTAGATTCGCATGATTGTTAGATGCTTTATCGATATGTGGATCTTTCCGCATTACTCTCACTGAGAATTTCTCAGCCTTTCTTGAATGGACTGTACCTGGGAATTGACTGCGACTACGTCTCGGCCTAGTTTCCCTAAAGTTAATTAACCTGTGTTTGGTTACGAGTATCATTGGCTACCGGTCTCCCGCTCGAAAGTATCAATGCCGACCTCCTACTGACCAATGGCGAGCCTCGACTCAAAGTGAGACGAGACCGGACGAGTATGCGGACTGCAGCTCAATGCAAGCCGCCTCAGGAAGAACGTGATACCCTTGGAACAGTTCCAAACCATGGAATTTGATCACATTTTGGAACTCGTACAATTTTAAGGCGTGCGAGTTTTTCTAAGGGCGAGCGAGAATGTTCCTTGGAATACGTAAGATTCGATTGGGTTTTGTGGTTTAGTCGAATGAGAATCTGCGAGCAGCGCTCAAATCACTGATATTCAACGGGGTAAGTCTGTGACTAGAATTGGGAAAGCCCAGAAGAGATCTCGGACTTCCGAGGTCAGTCCGTTAGAGAGTATAAAGTGGTGGTTTGTTGGTAGTTGCATTTTTGCTGTAAATCTTGAGCAATCCACATGAGTTTAACAAGATTCGTCTTGAAACTAAACTATCGCGACGAGTGCGTCCGAGTACGACCGGAGCCGCAGTACTGTACGAGGTTCACCCACATCTTAGAGTAGGCAGTCTATGGGTACCGGACTGGACCTTATTCGTATCTTCTCAGGTACATCAAGGAGACCTGGCCGGAGCTGTCCAGGGCCGACGACTTCAGTGTTTACTACTACGATGAAGCCGGCGACCGTTGCACCCTCAACGAGAGGACCCTCCCTGACTGTCTTATGCTGCTAGGGGAGCGCAATGCTTATAGAGTCACTGAGGAGCTGCCGGTCCTCATATTGGACATTGAACGCTATCGTGGACGTCGTCCCCTCCCTCCACCGCTGTGTAGACCACCTCAAGTGATGGAGGGAGCCCCTTGGGGTATCGAACAAAGGATGGGCCGGCCCATGAGGGCTCACTGTGAGCCGGTGTCCAAGGGCGGCTTTGAGGGAATGCAGGTGAAGTCTGTGGTTCATCATGGGTTCGTGTGTGATGGCTGTGAGATGGACCCTTTAGTGGGAGACAGGTAGGCTGGATAGGTAGAGCCTTGCTGTGGAAGGATTTCTGTTGTAGGTATAAGTGCAACTACTGTGATGACTTTGACTTCTGTTCGAAGTGTTTCGACAAGAGATTGGTATTGGGTCACAACCCTTTCCATGCCTTCACCCGTTACAAGATTCCGGAGAGGCCGGTCTTTGCAGCGACCAACAGCTGGTCCGATAAGAACACTATGACGGCCGCCTACTCTGTAGAGGAGAAGTCTGTTGGGGACGCTCCTGTAACGCCTCCGACCAAGTCCGTTGGGACTCTGCCGGAGCCCCAGGCTACTCGAGACGAGGGCGTCCAGTGGGGAGAGGTCAAGCATTGTACACTTGCTGGACCTTGGGGCAGTATGGACATCTTCGTCGATGGTCCTACTAGAGAAGACGGCCCTGTATTGGCGACCGTGGGCCAGCCCAGTATACCCTCAGGGGCCGGAGCTCGTGATAGCTTCGCAGTGGATGCTGGTGTGCACCTAGGCATCGAGTGCGACTGCTGTGAAGAGCTGCCTATTGTCGGCCCGAGGTGGGACTAGTGAGTTGGTGTGTATGTCATAATGAGCGTGTCAGGTACAAGTGCGCGGTCTGTCGAGATTACGATCTCTGTGAGGAATGCTTTGAGTCCACGTGCCCAGCCAAGTCTCATGACCATCCGAGAAGCTCGTTCTACAAGCTAACTCCTCTGGAGACCATCGAGATGCGCAAAAAGTCGGGAGCTTGGACTGCCAAGTGTCAGCAGTCAGCAGCCCCAACGGTGGCTGTTCCCATTGAGGAGGCAGAGACCTGTGGTGGGTCCATGATTGGACCGATCGCAGTGGTCAACCCTGAGCCAGAACCCGTGGGGTGAGTCGGTTGAACCACTGTATCGTTGGAAGGCTCGTTGGTCTGTAGGGTGGTCGAAGCTGCTGCTGCCGAGCCTGAGGTGGACGAGGAAATTGAGATGGAGACGCCCCCGGCTGAGAGCACCAATGATGGTAGTAGTGACCAGGTGCGGCTGTGGGTAGATATGGCTCCGTGTTAGGCACTGCTTCTGAGTCGGGGAGTTGGATGGACCTGGGGGAAATTGGAGAGGATATCATGTCGGTTGGGACACCACGTTCTGACCAGTTCCAGGTTAGTCATTGGAATGCCTTCGTGTAGTGTTGCACGCTACTTGTCGCTATTTTAGATTATCCAAGCGTTTGATGACGACTCGTTGGGAGATGAGGTCGAGGTAGGATACTCTCGATGGGAGTTGAATCATCATCTCATGCAGCAGGTTCCGGAGGCAGATGCTGGGAGTGTCACCGTGCATAGCTTGGCTGAGGCTATGGTACATCATGGAGTGGCCGAGAACAGGGCAAGGGCTGAGTTGGTGATAAACCAGGTAGGCTTCTCTCGTACCTCCTCACCTTGGGATGAATAGCAATGCCATTACTCGTGTGCTAATGAGGTCGCAAACATTTTTTCGTCTGTAGATATCCTCCAACGAAGAGCTCCGTGGAAAGCTGAGTGCGTTCCTGAGGGAGATTCAATGATGAGCTCCGTGTCGAGTCCGAATTTGCTAGTAGCAGCATCTGTCCCTCTCGTCGTTGTGACTGGACATTTTTGCATTTCTGAGAGGTGGCAAGTTGAAAGTATCATCATTTACCTTTTCATTTCATCCCATGGTAGTTGTCAACCTATTTTGATAGTTGTGATGGTAGTATGTAGTATGCCGTTTTCATGGTGATTATGCTAGAGAGAGCGTCAGTCTGACAGACCGCTCCCTCTAGTCTGTGGTCGAGGATGCTCATACGTACATAACTTGCTTTTCGTGTTGCGTTAATATCAATAGACACTCCGCTGGTCTTTGTGGAGTTCTGAGATTATGGGTAACGTGTTCGTATTGAGAGTGAAGTTCGCGGGTGAGTCCTTTAGAACTAGGATAGTAGCGGAGATGTTCGAGACTGTGAAGGATGTGAAACGGTAGGAGTGTTGGCATCTTCGTCGTGAGCATGGCTTTGTTGTATCAGGTTGATAACCGAGGCGTGGCCACATCTAAAAGGCGAGAAATTTGAAGTATTGTTACCGACTGGGGAGACCTTCTGGGAGCTGGGAGATGAGAAGTCTGTGCTGGAGCTGGTGGAGGATGCACCTAAGGAGCCCTGTGGGGTGTTACCGGAACTGAAGGTTGAAGTCAAGCTTGCTGCATCGTCATCGAGGAAGACTGCAACGAGTGTAAACCTCACTGCAGGGAGTGTGCCGCTCCCGATGGACAAGCATAGGGTTGCCAGTCTTCACTTTTTACAGTGTGACGATTGTCACATGTTCCCGATCGTTGGGAAAAGGTGGGTATGAGGTAGGCTTGTAAGCTTTGTTTTTGAGTTTGATATGCGCGACTTGAATTTCATCGTGGAGTATGTCTGAATCACTTGTTTTACAGTAGTCGTCGGAAAATTAGTCGTCGAGGATGCACTGTTTTAGATGGCGCGTACTTCATGGTATTTTGGGTGAGGTACATATGCATCGGCTGTTGTCCCAAGAGTGTTGACCTCTGCTATCGATGCCATGCTGATCATGACAGCTCTCATAAAACGGTTCTGTATAATCACAGTATGGATGGTGTGTGGAACGATCAGAGATTTGATGATGCTGATCGAGGGTGTCCGAGAGATATGAAGAGGTGGGAGGGTCGACTTGGGCGGCGACTGCAGTATGAGAGGCAGGTTTGATAAGCTGCAGTTGAGGCACAGTTCGGTGCCTATAATGGTTGCCCAAGTGTATGAGCGAGGGAGAGGGAGCAACAAAGTGGTGTCATGTTGCCGAGATGGTACGGCTGACACGAGGTATCTCTTGAGATGCCATTCCTGTGGGGACTGTGACACTACCATTAGAAGGTATGAGTTGTCTTAGTCTTAAAGTAGAGCTATGGTACAGGTTCAAGAGTGATTCGAGAGATGATATCGTCCTATGCGAGATGTGCTATCTAGTGCACGCGGCTGATGTCCTCAAGGTTGCGTACAAGTGCTCTCGTTTGGTCAGTCCGGGCTTCTGGGATGGTCCGGGATCGGATACCGTATGGAAGGCTAAGCACTTTCATGTTACGTGCAATACGTGTGGGGAGTCCCCGATTGAGGGAAGGAGGTAATAGGGAGAGCCCTGTGAGTTGGAGTTATCCACCTGTTGCGCTCTCTCCTAACGGGAATCTCTCGGCTTGAAAGTCTGTTATGTTGCGCCCAAACTAGGACCCTCCATATGTAGTTCATCTTTATATCACGACCGTCGGGCTTCTCATGTAGTGGATCCAGCTTGTGACAGTCCTCGCCCTACGTTCTCTGACTGCTCTCGCGGTGTTTGGTCATTTTTGAGTGGTCGTAGAGATCGTGTTTGGAGGTTGTTTCATGAGCACTGACAGTGTTCGAGTCGAGACTGAGGTAACCCTCAGGTACCATTGTGCGGTATGTGCTGACTTTGACTTATGCGCCACTTGCTATAAGAAGCCTACGAACAAGCAGCACAGGACTGACCATTGCTTTACCCTTATAGCTAAGCCGGTGACTCTGTGGAGTGTCAAGACTAGGGAGCCTAGGGGCGTCCCATTGGGAGACCTGCCTTGCGAGATGTGTCACAATAGGGGACAGGGAGGTGGCAGGTACGGATGCGGTGAGTCGTCACCCTCACGATGACTGTGTTGAGATACACTCTTCGTTCCTTGTTCGCTACTCCAATGAGGGATGCACACTTCTGCACGGAGTGTTATAAGGCGATGCTGGAGAAAGAGGCAAGAATCCTTCGTAGTGCGAGCGGTAGGATGTCGCCATGGGCTATCACCAACAGGGCTAGAAGCGAGGCTCTCTCTGCCCCGCATAGAAGTGGGTGATGCTCAGTAGCTGGTCGGTAGTGATCGTTCAGACATACGTCGGGCGGGTCGTTCGGAGCAGCCCTCGGACGTGATCCGTGAGATCATGCAAGCGGTGAGCGAGAGAGAACGAGAGCCTTATGAGGTGTGCAGTGTGGCCTTGGTCGGGCATATGGTGTTGATGTCAGTCGATGTGGGCAGAGGAACCTCCCAGAGAGCCCCAGGTCCATGACAGATTCCTTGCTGTAAGACTAGAGTAGGAAGTCTGGTCCAGTCAGGGTATGTGAGGTCAATATTGCCTTGAAGGCGCCTCTCATGTGATTCCGGCTTGGGACCATTCTTTGATGATGATAATGGTCCCATTCGGGAATCTAATCCTATTTCCAACTTTTACCAATATCGATTTTATCCCAGCACATGTGAGTCTTATCGAAACATGTTTCAAAGTCCCTTAGAGGTATTTTCCCGTTAAGACGTCGGACTAGTTGTCTGCAGCTTACAGTGACCAGTCCAACGCCTTTTTCTGGGGTATAGTCCCTGTCCATGTTCATCGTCACCAGAATCGTATTCAGTAGTTAGAATCATCCTTATCGGAGAACTCAGGCGAGACCTGCGCCAGAGTGGACGAGTACTGAGCGTATTAGTCTCATGATTTCTGTTGAGGTCTCCACAGCCTGGCTCAGCTTTGCGTTTGAGGGGTCTTCGCTGTGATGGTCGTTACCACTAGTTTCACTTCTCTCATCGTTATGTGGGAAAACAGCTTTTTCATCGTGAAGCTGGCCTACGGCAAGGAGTCACTCCAGTGTAGATGCCCGATGGCTACGATTCGCACTGTGGGAGATCTGCATAGGTAAGACGGCGACGTGTCGGGCACTGGTCACAGCTCTCGGCCTCTCAGACTGATAGAGGAGGCCTGGCCTAGTCTGGGGACTGTTGAGTATACGGCAACCCTACGTGGCGGTCGAGAGCTCAGCACCTGGCCTCGTGATCGCCCCATCTCGGCCTTGATCTCGGAGGGCCTCGCTGAGTCGGTGTATATGTTCCCTCGATTGAAGCTTCGCGTTAAGGCGTCCCAAAAGGGATCCTCGGGGTCCAAGAAGGGGCCCCAGCCGATGGACGGCCACAAGCCTGCATCGATGCACCTGCAAAGCTGTAGGGAATGCGAGATGTTCCCCATAGTGGGGCGAAGGTAGGCTGGTCGTGATAGGTGAACTATGGAGTACCTTCGGCTGTTCTCAGCTTCAACTGCGCTACTTGTCCCTCGGGGGTCCTCTGTGCATGGTGCTACGATAAGCATGATAAGCATCATACGATAACACCGTTGGTGATGGCATGTGATGGCGTATGGGAAGGGAGTATGTTCACACAGAATGCCCGGGATATGACGGAGATCCTCAGAGAAAGGCATCGTCCTTGGCCTGGTGACACCGTAGAGTAAGTGGGGCCTCAGTCGCGACGCGTGGCGGTCACCAAGTCAATATTCTTTATACAACAATCATCATCTTCGTCATCTCATTTTTCTTCACAATTTTCTTTGAGAAGAATTTATTGGTTTCCTTCCTGTTAGCATTGACTCCGTCCAAGTAGGGGAGAATCCTTTCCCTGCGATGGTTGCCGAAGTGTTCTCAAAGTCGGAGGCCCATCATGAGGCCATCACTTCGGGCTGCTTTGATGATGGGAAGACTATCCTGTGCTATAGGCCCTACTGCCATGCATGTGGAGCATCGGCTCCTCGGATGCGAAAGTGTGACTTCGAATTTTCCCACGGCACTTGGTGGTATCACCTTGGTAGGTTCGAGTGTGATGGTAGAGGTGATATCAACCTCTGTGATATGTGCTACATCTTGTGGGGAGGCGATGTCATGAAGATCGCATACAAGTGCTCGAGAGTGTTGCTACCGGGGGCGTGGAACCCTGTAGGGCAGGGCCCGTGTCGGCTGGTCCATTATGGGGTTACGTGTGCTGAGTGCGGAGTGTCACCGATACGCGGACGGAGGTGAGGGGGGAGGATTCAGGAAATTTTTGTATGGCTCTTATCGCACCGTGTCAGGTACCATTGCGATTTCTGCACAGAATATGATCTGTGCGAAGGCTGCTACAAAGAGGAGGCCAACAGAAAGCACAGGGAGACGCATCTCTTCACTTTGGTGGTGAAGCCTGTAAAGGTGTGGACGGTCCAGATGAGAGAGCCAAAGGGCACGCTCATGAGCACCATACCGTGCGAAAGGTGTGGCCAGCTGCCCGTTGGAGGCGCTACGTAAGGGACCATGAACAGCATATGCATTGTCGCACTGTTGGTTGCCCTCAGTTACAGCACGGTGGCATTGCCAGACTCCCACTACTGCTTGCCTTGTTACCGTGAGGGCCTCCGTTTTGAGGCTCTCTGTGTGCGAGGGCCCTACAATGCCCATTACTACCCTGTCAATAGGGGAGCGTTGAAGATACGTCAAAGGAAATTGGAAGCTCTCGAGGGTACTATTGCGGTGTACCTGGCGCGGCAAGCTCGTTCCTGAATTGGTAGATTCGCTGGCCAGCTCGTGGCTGATGCAGCCACTCGACCGGCAGTTGAAGGGGGAGGAGCCCTTCCCCCTAGAGCCTGACTTCCCTCCAAACCCGGTGAGTATCGCCTTATTGTAGGGAACTCAACGTGCATGGTTTGAGGTACTATGGGCAGATGAGCCTCCACGGGTGGTGAAGCCTCATCACCGCACTTTGCTCTATCCTTCTCCTACGCCCCAGTAGCTTGTTGGCATCTTGTCTTCAATTTTACTTTAATGCCTTTGTGATCTAGCGCTTGATGACCTACATTATAAGTGTGTTGTGTTGGTCACTGTTGGGATAGCGGGTTGTTCCCATTTTTGTACAGTTACTGTTCTTCAGAGGGGGCCATAGACATGGCCAGAGCTACAGATATGTCGCGCGCCAGAGAACTCAGTTGTGGTCAAAAACGTGTGCGTAGGCGTACTGAGCAAAAGACTAACTAGGAGTAACAGAGTAAGTTGGTTACTGGTCCCTTCCTCCCAGTGCAGCTCCTATGGTTGGTTCTATTAGGTTATCATCGAGATGGCGAACGACTACGTCCTCAAAGTGAGCTATGGCGGAGAATCTCTTCGCGTCAAACTGAGAGTTGACAAGTTCACGACGATGGGGCAGTTGAGGAAGTAGGCGCGGGTAGCATATGGTGATAGTGGACTTGGTTTCGATTCTGTAGGCTGATCGTAACAGCCTGGCCTTTCCTCGAAGAAGGTGTGTGCAAGGTTATACTGCCAAACGGTGGTGTATTGGGACAGAAGGGCATTAAGACTCCGGTGGTCGCCTACTTGCCGGCGGACCGCAAGGACCCGTCAGGGCATGTTCCTGAACTCAGGCTCAAGGTTGAGTCATCGGAGAGCCCTAGTGTGTCGGCACCGTCCGTGGGACAGCAGGAAGGGGTGCAGGCTGTCGATGGGCATCCTTTGGCGGTGACCTATTGGGAAACATGCGATGGGTGTGGGATGTTCCCGATCGTGGGGCAATGGTGAGGGCTCGTCTATGGAGCATGGTCTAGCTTTGGCTCTTTAGGTATATCTGCTTTACTTGCCGTCAGAAGGACCTGTGCTTCGCGTGCCGCAATGGACACGCTGGTGGTCATAAGGTGATCTCCTATGCTCCCTCTGTTGATGGTATTTGGGAAAATTATGGTCTATTCGAGAGTCTGCCTCGACAAGCTTTCAAGCTGAGGGCCCTGGGTGTTCCAACAGTGCAGCCGAAGTTCGAGTAGGTGTTGGCTCGGGAGATTGGCTTGTGTACATGCTCAGATGCGGGCGTTTCTCTCAGTTGCATAGTCTGACGTAGGTTCGAAGATATCCAGAAAACGCCTTTACCTCCAATGCTTGCCCGTACTTTTGACGAAGATGAGATACCGGATGATGTCCTCGACCGTTCATGCTATCGCGATAGGGACAAAGCGATGCACTACTCAATCTTCTGCCACTGCTGCAGTGCGACTGTTCCGAGCGCCAGAAGGTAGCAGTCATCGGCGATTATGGTAGTCAACTACGTTCGCATTACAACGTTTTAGCGCGAGTAAAACCGGTTGTTGGTCATGCCTGTCGCTGCTCGGAGTGCTATGATTTCAAGCAGGTTCAAGAGTGACACCCGTGCTCCTATCAATCTATGCGATACATGCTATCCTCTTCATAAGGACAACGTCTTGGCTCTGGCCTATAAGTGCTCGAGAGTATGGGAACCTGGGCGCATGGCAGTGCGTGACAACGACAGGCCGTTCCTAGCTGTCCACGATGGAGTTACTTGCGCTGAGTGTGAACGATCTCCGATCACTGGTGCCAGGTGAGGCGGTTGTTTTCATCGTACAGCCATGGATGGTATCAGGTACACCTGCCTCATCTGCTCGGACTTGGACCTTTGCTCCCGATGCTATCAGAGTCGAGCTCAAGCCGGCCACAAGGAGGGACATGCTTTTGGAATGGTTGCTAGCATGGTCACTCTGTGGTCGCTGAAGATGAGAGAGCCTCGAGGGACCCCCATTGGAGATATGAAGTGTAGGATGTGTGGTAACCATCCTCGAGGTGGAGCCAAGTGGGTGTCGATGGCCTTGCCTGTGCACAGCCAGTGCTCACAATAGGTATAGGATGAAGACTGATCCGCCCGACAGTCGCAATGCTTTCTATTGTCAATCTTGTTACCAGAAAATGCTGCAGAAGGAGGCGTTGCAGCTACGGGCGCCCTTGGCCAGCGGTATGAGTCACAGTTCTTTACCGTGGGCTCAGTCGGCCAGGACCAGGAGTCGGACTCTACGTGTCGCCCTTAAAAGTAGACGGACGAGAGCTAAGCCGTGGATGGTTATGTTGGTGCTGTTACAGGTTCGCTCGCCTCGCGACTCAACACTCAGCCGCCCGTGATACAGTTCATCAGAAGGCTGGCCCGTCAAGCAGGGCGTTTTGATATTATTGATGACGATGATGATTCTGACTCTGTGAGTGCCTTGGGACTGTTGTTGGCCAAGAGCTTCTAAGCAATGTGGGAAATATGTACATGGTCAGCTACGTGCGTTGATGACAATGAGAAAATTATGCGGAAATTTGGGAAATTATTGTCGAAATTCGAGCTGGGAAAGTCGTGTTTTAATTTTCAGTGTAGTGAGGAAACTCTAGAGCTCAGCTGAGGAAACTGTACATGAATTGCAACACTCATTCCAGGGGCGGCTACTGGTGGTTTGTGTCAGTTGGAGTGGGTCGTTGAACCGCCAAAGGAGTTCAAGACTGACCACAAGTTCTACGATGGGCCTGGGAGATGAGCGATTATGCGTTGTCGTCTTGGGGAAAAAGAGCAAGCGAACGAGTGATTTATCTCAGCCGTCGGTGACTAATCGATTTTTGAATTTCATTATCCTTTCAGAGTTCAACTTAACAATAATCGACTTTTTCCAAACCTAGATTCTCGAGTTTAACACAGAGTTTCTGTCGTCGGGATTCCAACTCTGAGTCAGCGCTGTGTGGACAGTCGATGAGTGTCGCGCAATGCATTGTGACGACGCTAGTAGAGGACGACCAGTGTCACCCCTCGTGGCGAACATTGTTGTAATCGTTGGTGTAGGGTGTTGTTGGCCATGTTCGCCGATTCCTTCGTCGTGTTGAAGCTTCACTACGGTGAGGAGTCCCTGCGCTGTCGATGCCCTCTGAAGACTGTGAAGACAGTGAGTGATCTGTACAGGTAGTCCTAGCTCCCAATCGTGTCACCACATCGCCTCTCCTCAGTATCATCGAAGAAGCTTGGCCAGCATTGGGTAAGGGTAGCGAGTACAGCGTGCAAGTGCATAAGGGCAATGCCTTGTCCTCTTACGGGAAGAACACCAGCATCAGCATGCTACTCAGCAGGCATGGTGTGATGCGCGTTGGTTCTCCTAAGGAGCTTCGGCTCGATGTTGGAGGAGGGCCTGAGGTCACTCCAGTGCATAATCGTTCGTCAAATCCTCCGAAGCCTAAGGATGGTCATAACGTTGCGGTCCTGCACATGGACCTCTGCTACGATTGTGGGATGGGGCCGATCATCGGCCGATGGTGAGCAGCGTAGAGTTGTTGTCCTCCTGTTGTCATTATATCTTAACAGTTACAAGTGTATGACGTGTTCGGACCGGACGTTCTGTTCGCGTTGTTTCAAGGGTCATGACCAGAGCCACACCCTCACTGTAGTGAGCATGGCCGAGGATGGTATATGGGACAGTAGGCCCGACGACGTCGCCAATGAGCGGTTCCTACGTGATATGCGCAGTCTAGGAGTCCCATGGCCCGGCGATGTCGCAAAGTAAACCACGGTGGTTCTGTCCCAGTTTGAGTAGCTTCCTTTCAGGATCAAGGACTTGCAGCTTCCTGATCAAACCTTCCCTATGATGATCGCGGAGACCTTTCCCAAGAACGACCCGCCGTCGGAGTCCCTTCGAGCCCTCCTGTGCAAAGACGGCTGCTCTTTCATCAGCTATAGGATATTCTGCCATTGTTGCAGTGGCGCGACCAACAGGGCCAGACAGTACGGACGGATCGTCATTTTCGCGAGCAGATATCGTATCAGGTTCCGTTGTGACGGTCTCGGTGGTGATATAAACTTATGCGATTCTTGCTACCTCACTCATCGTAGTAAGATTTTGAAGATCGCCAACAAATGTTCGAGAATTGTTACACCGTCCTTTTGGAATGAGGGCAACACCGAAGCTGTTGAGCTTATTCATTATGGTTCGATCTGTGACGGCTGTGGGGTGTCCCCAATTGTGGGTAGAAGGTAATGACGGGTTTACGGTAGGGGACAGCAGATTGTGTCACGAGCCGTCTTGCCCTTAGATACAAGTGCAACTACTGTGCCGAGTACGAGTTGTGCAGTAGATGTTTCAAAGAGCCTGCCAACAAGCAACATCGTTTGGAGCATCTGTTCACTTTGATCGCCAGACCAGCAAAGCTATGGACTGTTCATACCAAGGACCAGAAGGGTACACTTTACAGCGAGATGGCTTGCGAGATGTGCGGCGTTCTCCCCCCGGGGGGTGCTAGGTGACACTGGTGGTCTAGAGAGGTTCTGCAGCTGTCCATAGGTACACTATAAAATGCGACTGTAAGGCTCAGATGTGCCTCGACTGTTACAAGGACGATCTCCAAGGGCAGGCTGTTCTACTACGGGGAGAGTTCTTTGACTACCCCAACCCAGTGAGCTTACAGGCCTCGGCCGACAGAGAGCGACAACGACATTTGTTGAAAAGTAAGTATGGAGTGCCTTTGTCCACTATCATTCACCGTTGTAGTATCTGTGGCGAGCACCCTTCCGATGGGTCCGATGGCTAAGGTCGCTAGGCTTGAGGCTGAGGGAAAGACGGTGAAGCAGGAGGATAAGCAGACAAAAGGAAGGGTAAGTCTCTACTCGTTTTGATCAAGCCTTAAATCGTCTTGTAGATCATTTGGGCTGATGAGCTCCCTCGTGAAGTGAAGCCTCATCACAGGGTGGTCCGTAGTAGTTGTGGCTGTGGCCATCGCCACTGACTGAACTGCTCGGCTGCGAATTCACTCTTCCAATGCGATTCACTAGTAGAAGTCCCTGGCCAGTACGTACTTGCTTCTCGACACTGGAGTTTAGAGAAGTCATGATTTTGCAAGAAATGTGAATGAATTTTGATCAATAGTATTGTAAAAAACGCTGTATGGTCAGTTGCTGATCTTTTAAATGTTTCAATTAATTTCCAGCGTCCTGTTGTGTTGATCTGAGGACTCGGTCGTGACCGATTGTTGTTCATGTTCCCAGAGTTGAAATATATGTTCGCTTCCCTAAGCTGAGCTCGAGAATTTCCTTACTAATTATAGAAGTTTATAGTCAAAATAGAAGTGTACATAAACGAACAGGAATATCCTGAACTTTCCTCAGAATTCGCATATTGTCACCAACACATGTAACTGGCGATGTGTATATTTTCCCAAACTGTCTTGATAGCCGTGGTGACAGGTCACAGTGAGGTTATGTTGATTTCTTGGAGACAGGGGTGAGGGATGAAGTGAACAAACTTGCCCGTGGTAGACGGCCTTGAACTAATTCAAACAAAACTTTCTCTACAGTGAAGGTCTTGCACGCGATCTGAGGAGCGCATTTGTAGGCAATAGCTGTCTTTCAAAGGCATCTAGGTGGTAACGTTGTCATTACTGGTACATACTCCCGCTCTCGTCAGCTGAGCTCAGCAGTTCAGAAGCTCACTCACGAACTCGCCCAAAACTATACAGAAACCAACAATAATTTCCTAGAATTTTTTCGTTGTCCGAAATACGCGTAGTTTGAACATATGTTTATTTTCCCATGCTAATTGTGGTATTTTTAGCGCTTAAAAAAGTGAGGATATTATTTTTCCGACAGCTTTTCCTCGTTGGTATTGTCATCATATACGAGCGTCGACCATCCAAGCCGACCAGTAGTGCTGGGGTAAGGGTTGCCTGGCCCTATGGATTCATGACCTCAATACTGTGCTTCTTCCTCACCTTCCTAGCATACAATGTCTACTTTATAATGGATCATGGCCGAACCAGAGGTAGTAGGGAGTGCCTAGTCGAAGGCTACTGCTTACTAGCTAGAGCAAGGAAGTAGACGTGGAGGTGTATGTGGACCAACTGCTTAGGTATAGACGCGGGGGTTGGTGGTGAATGGCAGGCTTGGACGTTGGCCTTGTCCTTCGACATACCATGGCTGCTCTCTTTTGTGTGCTATCTACGGTGAGTACGGCGAGCATTTAACAAGGGGTATTTGCTCTGCTCTAGGGTACGCATGAACAGGCCGGGCACGGTGCCGCGAAGGTGGACAGAGTACGTCACTAAGAATTCGATACGGATCAGCGTCACGGAGCAATCAACTTTTCAAGTGGGTCCTCGTCAGTCTTGGATACCCCTTTTCCGATGGTTGTTCAGCCTCGCACCTCCTCGATATGTGGTGTATGTATGCGGCATAGACCCGAGAGGGCTCATCACTGTTCGACCTGTGGGCAATGCATTCTGCGGCATGACCGCCATGATTGGCTCACTGGTAGGCATCTAGACCACCCTGTATTTCCTAATCTAGATTGGTGAGGTGTAAAATGACATACAGCTTTGGTCATGAACAGTACTCCAGGAAAAATCAGTTGTACTCGTAATCGTTCCGTGAAAATTCAATCAATCAAATTTTCATCACACTAGCGCAGTGCCAGCGCCTCAGCCGCCTCTCAGGCACCTGCATCGGTTTTCGCAACCACAAGTTCTACCTACTATTCCTCTTCTATGGCGCGCTCGCCTCAACAGTGTTCCTGCTCTCTGTGGCGCCCCATTTCTTCGTCCGAGTAAGTGCCTTCTCTCTCCCCTTCTCCTCGCCATTCGGTCCCCCATAGGTAGTAGTCGCATCCCATGTTGCTGGCAGTGCGACTGTTGCAACTCTTGCCCTCTCCCTCACGGCCGTCCGAATCCTCGAGGCATCGATCCTCATGGTCGCAGTAATGGGGGTAGCCGACACTCCCATCATCTGCAATGCTTTGTTTTCTCAGTTCCTGGCGCTTCCCTACTTCTACTACAACCTCACCGTGCAATGTTCCCAAATTTGCCGTAATATCACAACGCACGAAGCAAGCTATGTCGCTACGAATCCTTACGACCTCGGCACCAGACTGGCCAATGCTGCAGCTGTACGGAGTGCTTCCTTGCTTATAATGAAGTCTGTTCCCATCAGGTGTTTGGGACAGACTTCGGTCCACTATTCCTCTACTGGCTGCTTCCATTGGACCCTTGTCGCCCCGAAAGCGATGGTCTATTCTACCCTCTGCCCTCTAGCCCGGAATCGGCGGGCCACGGCTCCGTAGAGGACGGCAAGAATGCTGACGACTCTATCGAGGCACTGTTGGGAGCTCCCTTTGGCAACAATAAGCGCATTGAAAAGTAGCGAATTGTGGTTAGTTCACCTTTGTCGGTTGCTCTTGTGACTGCTTTCTGTAGTACTCGTATACCACTCATTCGGCAAATCGGAATTTGAGCTGTTCTCAGAATATTCGACTCGGATATGAAGCACCTCATTTTGAAGGGTCGGAAAGGCTACTACCCAACCCAGGACGACAGCCACGCGGAAGAGACTGAACGATTGTGAGTTGAATAAAATGTGGCTGGTAGGAGTGCGGTATTTCAGAGCGCCTACGAGGAGCAACTCGTACTCGTCTACCTCTTGCATATTGTGAAAGTGTTACTGTGCGTGTACGGTTATTACTGTCATGATCCACTCGGATGTGTTTACCCTTTCTTGCTTTGCGTTCCAGTCTCAGTGGTGACACCTCTTCTCTGTCACCAGTTCCCTTGGTCTCTGTATTCATGGCGAACCCTGCCGAGGATACTCCCAATGGTCCTCCGAGCACAGAACGAGGCCTTCAAAACCCCCCTGGGACAGATCCAGTGAGTTTGCTGACAAACAAGAGCACCGGTCGCTCTGAGCGTGCAATAGCACTGTCCACACTATTGATCTCTATCAACAAGGGCCGCATGTCCCTCCTAGAGCTCGTGCAGCAGCTTCAGTGCAGCCTGGTTTCTGAGGACTCAGCGGTCCGACGGCTGGCAGTGGAGCTCCTGTCGGATGTCATTGAGCGGTTGCCTAAGCTCCCACTGGGTAGCGTACAAGTGAAGACTGTTGGACGATTCTTCGTGGACAAGCTCGAGGACTGGGTCTGCATCGAGTACGCTTTGAAGGGCCTTATAGGCCTCCTCACCAACCACGGTCGTAAACTGGCCTCAGCCAATCTGACAGTAGAGGAGGTCAATAAGGAAGCTGAGACGGACGACTACATCGGCATGCTTCTGACAGGCGACGAGCGCTTCGAGGGATCAAATGGGGTTCAGCCTCTAGCCTTCCACTGTGACATTTTTCTCCACGTTATCGTAAAGCACGTATTACTTTACGTTAATGCACCTTCGCAGAGTCAACCCGTACGGTATGCCGTGTTGAAGCTGTTGGAGTTGGTGATAGTACAGCCTGAGCTCCGAGACCAGGTTATCAGGTCGAGGGCAGTGGCGAAGGTCTTGGCCCAGGGTGTGGTCATGGAGTGTGAGGACGAGAGGGACCCTAGGAATCTCCTGCTGGCCTTTGAGCTCCAACGGGAAGTCGTCTGCTTCTATGCAGAGCACCTGAATAAGCTTGCGGGAGACGTTAAAAACGCTGAAGAATATTCTGATGGAGGGTTCGAACCTGCGACAGAGCTTGCCAGCTTTGCACAGATAGTCTTCGAGTCGGCCACTGTGTACTTCCCCGTTAAGTTCCAGCAACGCGACTCCGATGTGGCGGACATCTCCCAAGAGAAGCTCAGTCGATCACTTTACAATGTCCTATTCGAGAGCGAGGAAGCCATGGTCCGTCTAGCGATGCCCTCCCTCCTGGACGTCCTGGCCAACCCTGAGGACGAGCTCAGCATGCTCACCGCGCAGCGCTACATCAGCGAGGCTATCGTTACAAGCCCCTATAAGGAGTTCATCGCAAAGGAGTACTGTCGTAGAACCTTCTCAGTTTGCCTCGACCAAGTGACCAAGGAAAGCGCGCCATTGAAGTATCTCCTCTGTGAGCTCTGGCTGGCCTTCGTTCGAGAGACCGGAGCCAGCAACTGCCGGGATGCAGTGGAGTCTCTCCTTTTCATGTTTGCCAAGTCCGCTGAGTCCGACGATGAGGCCAAAGCTGTCGGGGTTCAGCAGCTCCTGCTGGCGAGTGGCAGAGGCAGCTTTGAGTTCTACGATGAGATTGCGAGACGGGCTATTGTACCAGCGATGAGTTCACCACAAGTCATCATAGCCAACAAGCATGCGGTGGTAGACTTCTGTATCAAGTTCCTCAGTGAGGGAACCATATGCGATGAAGGTCTCGCTGAGCAGGCGGCTGAGTGTTTGCTCAAACTTCAAGATAAGGACATCCAACCGGCGCTAGCAGCAGTGGTCCCAGCATGTGGCGCGGACTCCCCCGTAGCGAGCAAGGCCATGAACGTGGCTATTGCTCGTGGCTGGGCGAGTGTTGTTAAGAAGGTCTATCCTCGACATCCTCACATCACACTGAATGAGGTCGTCCCTGCCCTGCGGCAACAAGCTCCTCATTCGAGTGCCTTGGCCTGTGCCGTGGTGGCACAAATCTTCGCTGATCATCCGGCTGAGGCCAAGTCCCTACTGAGCACAATCAGTGTGTCTGAAATAGCGAAGTCGCCGGAGTGGTCAGAAGATGCTTACGACTTCTTAATGGATAGTCTACCTGAGGTGGCGACTTGGCCATGGCCTCTCATCGTGGCTAGTCCCATTAACGAAGGCTCCTTGGCTTCTCTTGCATGTATGCTGTCGATCGGAAATCAATCTATGTGCCAGAAGGTGGTCGCCCTGGTCGAATCCAATCCTCGAAAATTCGCCGGCTTGCTTGCTGGTCTCCCTCGGGATGAGCTCGGTGAATGCCCCGTGTCTAACTGGTCTGCGCTGTTCGAGTCTGTGGTGATTGATCCCCCAGCCGCCCTCAACGTGCTGGAGGTGTGCCCCGATGATGCATTTGATGCCTGCTTATCAGGATCTCTGACGAAGGATGCTGATCCTGCTATTTGGGCAACTGTTATGAAGGTCGGGGTAGACCGCGAGCCGTCCAGGGCTATCGAGCTAGGGAAGTCTTCAATGACAATACCTGGCTTGAAGCAACTCCTCCATAGTAGCGTGACCGAACTGGATACTCCCAAAAAGGAAGCAATAGTCGCCGGCCTATACGACCCTACCGCAGACGGAGATGTGTCTACATGCCTATTCAGTGCGCTGGAGACGTCTGGTCTTGAACCCTACGGTGACGAGCCCAGGAAGTCTATGTTGTTGGGTTTAAAGAAGGGCAAAGGCGAGGCCTTCGTATTCGCTTGCAAGTTGTTCCTGCGGCTTCTATCGAGGCCACTGCTGAGGGCGGACTCTCAGAGTATCATCCCTCACCTTTGCGATGCGCTCGAGTCCGGGGACTGTCGACCGCTTACGTCGATAGCAGCCTGTCAGTGTCTTTACGAGATTGGTAAGATGAGTGACTTGGCGGAACTCATCCCCAAACAGTATTTCCAGGAAGTCTTCCACGCATTGAAGCATCCCTTGGCTCACCATAAGATGGTGGTTAGGCGACAGGCTACCGTAACGTATGGAGTCTGGATGTGTGCTCAAGTGGATGGATTCTGTGATCGATGACTCGTTCCTCAGCTTGTACGGTTTCACTGCTATAATAAGCTCGAGTGTGTTTCGTGTTGTAAATCTTACATGAGCCGCGGTGCAGTAAATTGCAAATAGGTTATAATAGGATCGTTGCTCCTGATTTATTGTCCTGATTGTCGTCCCGATTCATTACGAAACTCAGTCAACTCACAATCACGACGCTGACAAGATTTCTCATGCTGGCTACAAGCGCACTACATCCAACATCTCATCGTGAAGATATCTCGGATACCTCGCCAAAACCTGATCCCTAATCTTCTGGTTCCTTGCCCCTATTAATTCTGACATGCACCAATAGTTCTCCCATGCTAAAACATAGAGGAATTGTAATCAATAAACCGGCCAAATGAGTACACCATGGTACGACTACTCTCAAACTCAAAATGTTGCACAATAATGAAAAATTAGTCAGCATCCTTAGTTCATATCATGAGGAAAAAATTGTTGGCTATAACGCGAGATAATTCCCACCATGTCCGCATGATCAGCACATGCTCTGCCAATCTCAAGTCCAACAGGACTTCGCAGGATAACGATCGATTACACAAAAAATATGATATATGATGTAAATCAATGGGAAGTGGTGACACCAGTCGATGATGACTGACGATGGTTAATGAGATGAGAGGGTGCCGAGAGCACCGTTGACACGAGCTCCAGTGGGTCTCCTGCGCCTAGAAGTACCTGCAGTGAGTTGAACTACGCTGTCGAGGCCAGAGCTAGGCATGACATCGAGTCACGTACAAGTTCAGCGCAGTCTCGGCCACATAGCCTATTATTTACGAGAAATTCCTTGCCCATGATCCGTTGATGCCATTCTATCATCATCTTCATCACAGTTGTTGCGACTCCTAGACGTTCAGCAATGGAGACTAGGACCTACAGAGTTAAGGCCGACGTTTGTAATACAGTACCACATCTTACACAGAGACCCCAACCGATGTCGTCCACAACCACCCGATGCTTGGGGTTCGGTGCTACTCCCTGAGTGATCACAACTACAATGAGAGAGCGAGATGGGGTGTACATCTGCCGTCTCAATCACCGGAGTACGGGCCATCGAATAAGCCTGATTAGTCCCAACCATCTTAGCCAGGGTACTCTTGTCTTTAATTTGGTCTCCATACTGTACCAAGAGTCTGTCCCTCAATCGCAAGATCTTCAAGCAGGACTCTCGGCCTGAGGGCGTTCCCGTCTGGCATCGAGTGACCTGTCCCAGTCGGGTACCGGTCGCTTGGAAAAAGGCCGACTTGATAGCCTGGAGTTCCTCATCCATCGCCTCGAGGACATGACCACTTAGCTCATCCATGTCGCGGTAACTGCATCACTACAATAGACAGTGTGCTAGAGCCAAGAAGACAACTCGTACAGCCACGCCCTAGGGCGAGATTCTCCCTTCAAGTTCTTGCCGGGCGCCCATTTTCTGAAGATGCCCCAGTATCTACAATAACGTCGGCTCGTGCTGTCACCAACAGGCTCAGTGGTACGTTGCCGGGTGGATGATCTGATTCGCCGGGTTAAACACAATTGGACAGAAGTCCTCAATGACGTGGATGCTGGGTTGTGAACAGCCTACTGGAACATGCCTCCAGCAAGTTGCAGCACTTTTACCTTCACTCTGCACTGCGAACAGCGGCTGTATGTTTCCCTGCACCCACTGAGAGCTCAAGTTTATGACGGCACACTCGATGCCTAGATGGGAGACAGGCCCGGCAACGATAGTAGACGAGGATGGCTACTTGATTTGGGGCCTACTATTTCGCACTCTCGACCGACATTGATTGTCCGGCACAGCCAAGGGATGTTACGGAGAGCGAAGAATCTGTCGAGAGCGATGGACCGTTTAGAAAGGCGTTGAAGCCTCACTTTATCCCGGGTCCGAAAACCCTATGTGCCAAGACGTGCACAAGGCCCTGGGCGAAGATAGTGCCGACTACTGTTCTCTCAGTGTTGATGAACGGCTGCATCATTTCAAAGGCCTATAGACCAAATCGTGCGCCTCATAGGCCTATCACGACCTCTTTGGTGGCATTGACTGGACCAGTCCACAGAATTATGTCGGCATTGGGCAGAACTTCGCTCGGCTCCGACGAAACCTTATCGACCAGGCCTTCTTGCGAGGCTGGAACAAGAAAACCATGACGATCCCTGGCGGCGACTGCGAGAGCCCCAAGGTAGTCCTTACATCCATCGGGGAAGCGGACCACAGGTGAACTGATCCAAGCCTCTGGTTTGGTGGTCAGCAGTTGGACACGGACCTAGAGAAGCTCCGATGAGAACGAGGTTATCTCGGCGTTTGGTCTGACTCGGCCTTTGGTGTTGCCGTGGACGAGAGAGGCACACACGTGGCCCGAGTTGCCGCCGCCCACAATAGTGAGCACCTTGGAATGAGGAGGGGCTGGGGAGACATGCTCCGCGATAATGGATGCTCTTTGCATGACGAACGGCGAGACTAGGACAGGGACATGAGTGTTCGGACAACGAGACAAGCCACGGGTTATTGAGATGGTTGTTGCACATGCTGTCGCCTTTTTGAAACATGCGACGAAATTATTCTTCTCTATAGAAGAACTCTGCTAAGCTGCTAGCAAAAGACTCTCGACCGTTCTGCACGCGCTTTCGGGCTGCTCTGGAAGGACCCGCGGTACTGAGGGGATTTGACTAACATAACCGACATTGGATAGGAGCACCTAGACTCCACATTGTCCGGGTTCCGAAATTGGTCTAGAGAAAGCCCATCGGGAGCGGATCCTTTATGGAGGCCACCATCCGGCAACTGACCTGATAATAAACCTTGATATGAATTTACAGTGAAAATTCATGTGTAAATTTCACACAACTTTATCATTGGAACCGCTGATACAATCGTTCGAAAGGAACATGACAAACGACTGAGTATGGTTTCATGCACGGTGGCGACTGAACAACCTCAAGGCCTCACCTCTTTTGCGGCGCTTCTCACCACTGTTGCTGTATACTGACAAGGACACCCGCGAGCCCTTATCGGAAACGTACGGCGACTTCGCCGCAGACACCTCGCTCGCGACCTGCATCACTTCACCCCCAGATTGACCGACGACCATGTCACATTCGGCCGGCCTACGCAGATTATGGGAATCCAACCTTCCGGTCTGGCTGCCTCCTGATCTCTTCCTCTTCTTCGACGTCTGCGCATCATTACTGTCATCGTCAAGATCGATGGTGTCAATTGCGCATTTAGTCGGTGGTGCTTCGCTCCGCCGGCTCTCTCCACATGTTTTGAAGAGTGCCGCCAGAGGGCTCTGTTGGCGCACAGTTGGGCGAACGGACGCCGCGGGGAGTGAGCTGAGCCGCGCTCGAGTCGACTGTCGTTGCTGATAGACGAGCAGTGGAACCGAACCCGACGCCTCTGGTTGCCCACCTGGGTCCACTTGGAAGAGCGAACGTGAGCAGCTCGTGTTGGGGGTGCACCCCGGGACTGGAAAGGCATTTTAGTTTCCGGATGGAGGCTGCCTTCTGCCACTTGTTCGGCCTCAGGGTTCGAGTAAAGTCTGAACTTGGCCATATATTGTCAACTACTTCGGCGAATCGAACTGATACTTCCCCCAGAACTGCCGTAGCTCCGCAGCATAGTGCATATCCTCGTCTACATCGAGGAGCGGCCGAAGCCTACGACTCGAAGGACACCAAACGGTTTGATGTCGAAAAGTGAGTAGAGCACGCTCGAACATATCGGCGTAGCCCTCGGGGAACTCCAGGCCGGCAATTTGGGCAAGGTTCATGATTCGACTAATGCTGGGACCACCCCGCAACACGAAGCCGTACGCCTAATCAAGCAAGTCGGCCCACGTGAGAGCTCCCAGAATCGTCACCTTCTTAGGCCCCATGCCGGTTACTGAGGGTAGATAGTCACAGCCTGCGAGGACGCAGTAGTGTAGGAATGAATCTTGAGGAAATGAAATCAAAGTTCGAAGGAAATCGGGATTGCCCTCACATACCACGGCTGAATCGACAAACGCCCTCCGCAAGCTCGTCATCGGGGTCGGCCACAGTGTTGGTGGTAGGGGGTGCATCGGGCAGCATTCGCTTGGGAAGCGATATGGACACGCCAGAACGGCACTTGGCGCTATCTGATCGTCATGGTAGTGGCACGATGAGACATTAGATATGCTACGTCCAGAACCGGCGACGAGATCCAATTTATAAATAACATGGGGGCAGCCAAAGGGCAGGAGGTCAGAGTCTTCGGATATCACAGCATCGACGAGCCTACCAATGTGGTAGTCGTAAAGTGCCAATGCAGAGAGCTGGTGATTCATTCCAGGACACGTCCGAGAAACGTTATCGGGCTGTGCATGAAGATCGGCATGATGAGCTCACGTGCACTCCAGCCCTACATCTGAGTTCAGCTAGGGCACGAATATAAACCCACAAATCTGATGTCAAAGTAACGGAAACTGCAGATTCCCGAAATCCCAACGTCAATAGAAAATCTAGTAACGAGGACATCACCACTAGACCCTCAACTGTCTCGATGATTTGTCTATCGTGTAACACCAGCTCAGAATGAAGTGAGAGTTGACCCTTAGTATCAATCAGGACGATCGAACACGTCCAATACTCACCCATTCAAAGCAAGGTACGCGAGCTGGGCGTCGGCTTCATAAGGTGCAATAATCCAGCGAACTCGAGGGCCGAACTTTCGACCTGTCCAACAGACCCAGATGCTCAACAGGCTCACTGGTTCGAGACACCTCTGATCAGCGAGATGAGCTCTGCTGCCATGTCCGGTGTAACGTCTGCTGCACGCGTGAACATCTTACGGGCAGCTGCATGGTTGCCAGCTTTCCGATACTCTAAACCCAGCTCTCGTGCCTGCATAAAGCATGGTCGAGACCAAGGCTCTATATAATCCACTTGGACAGGCGATAGGCGTCTCGCACTCACTTCTTGGCGACGCTTTTGTCGCTCGTCTTCAACACCGAGCTTAGCAGGCAAAGGGCACCCATCGAAGACTAAAACGACTTCAGCGACTCCCGCGGACAGGAGCACTTCCAGTCGCCGAACACAATAGTTGAGATGCAGACTGGTGGGCTTCCCTAACAGGCACTCAGGACTAGTACAGCTCGAAACTAATTACCCGTGACGACGTCCATAGCAGCATTGCCAGCTTGAAGACCTCGATGCAACCATACATACGTGTCCACGGCTATACGCTTATCCCTGTACTCGGAAAGATCTTGGCAAATGGGCCGCTGGAGCTGCTCTAGACTTTTCAGGAGTCCGTTTATCCCCATTGTTGGTGAACTACGCAATGTATTGACGACAATCGGTAAACACAATGCATCAGTTGTGGTCAACAGAGTAGGTCAGCAGCAAACCAGCTTTCACTATTAGTCAGACACATATCGCGCGCCCCGCCACAGCTACCACCACGAATGATGTCAATAGCAGTAGATACAGGAGCGGCGGCACTGGCAGGATGCTGCAACAGCAGCGGCTATTATCAACGAAATGGAAGCTCCCAGGCTATCGGAAGCAGGAGCATCAATCACGAATTAAAATGATGGACGAAGTCGACACAACACTATCTCTAAAGTCGTTTAGCACCAATAAGCAAAGCCTTTGCTCTAAGTAGGTTTGTACCCACTCAAACACGATCGGCAGGGGGCACGAGTTCACAAGGCTGCTGCTGCTGCTAGTGCTATTACTACTACGATAATAATACTAATAACCAAAATAGGGATTAGCACAAGTAGGGAATACTCAGTGTAATGCGAGAACTAGAAGACTGAGTTATGATAGCAATAGTCACAGAATGGTATTATCATCATCACCATATCCGAGGTGCCGAGGACAATGAACGAGTCACGTACTGGGCACAGTAAAGCAGCAACAACAGCAGCACAGATTGCATCGGGGCAATGCGTTGACATGATGGGCGGTTGTCGGAGATGACCAACCGAGACACCATTCGCACACTACTCCCAACGCCCATGTATAAGTAAAGAAGATCAGAACGACGATCTGCAAAAAGTTTGTTCTAAGATGGCGCGGTTGTATTCGCGATAATGATGATGATGATAACTGATAGCGATGTTTTTTTGGTATATTGTAACACGATGTAGAACGCTGTTGATGACGATATGGAGCATATCCGAACCCCAACCTGAAACAGATTCCGTGAGTATCATCATTTGGCCTCCAAATTGGCTCACCAAATAATCCAATTTTGGATACTGAAGTTCTTAGACTCTTCCTCTCGTTACACTACTAGGAGAGGGGGTATTACCAAAGTACGCGAGAATACTGATACGATATGAATTACAGCAGGAGATGGTAGCAGCGGATAGTCAGCAGTAACAGGTGCAGACTCCTGGTACCAACCAAGTGCTGTAGGAGAGTAACCGTTCTCGACGGTTGATTACGATAATCAAGTAATACTACTACTCAGCGGAAATACATCATGCAACGACACCTAGCTACTGAAAGAGTCACGATGGGGAGCCAAAGTAGCTGCACCAGCGGCTTTCCAGTACATAGACGGATCATGATCAGAGGTGACGGTACTCGACTGAACGAATGGCTGTCGTTGGCCAGACGGCTGACTACGACCAAGCGACAATGATTGTTGTTGATAGCCACAATAACTGGCATCGGTAGTGTCCACGCTGAGCAGCAACAGACTGATGAGATAATGCCAACCTGGAACGTCTTACTCGTCCTGGACCGGACTGTCCAGTTCAACATGCACACCGGATGCGAGCCAATGGATGGGAACCTTGCGAAAGATGAAAAGGAGTGGTCCGGTACCAACAGGGTGGGGGGGTACTACTCGTTCGTCACCGCTGGACATTCGCAGATTCACGGTGGTCATTGCATTAACAGCTTCCTCCATAGTGTTGAACGACACAATACCAAGGCTGAATCGGACAATATCGTCACGCGCCACAAAATTAGAGTCTCGAGAGCTACCTCCGTGAAGGTATGATGTGTGCCGAATTGACATGACCAAATTCTGAAAACACTCCAGCGATCTCAGTCTCATCCGTGGTGGATGGAACCTGAGTAATCGAAGACCAATATCACGACTAGGAAGAGGTGTCCGATGCATGTCTACTCTGAACACGAGGAGACTAGTTTCTTCTGGATGTCGTCGCATTCTCCTACCACCAAAACACGACGGCGCCGCCGCATTTTCCTACAGCACACATTATCGATAGCCACAGTAACAAACTCACCTTGCGATGCGTATAGTGCCTCGCTGAAGACCCTCTGTTGAGCATCTCATATGAGTCAGGCGAGTCGACAGCCATGGGCCTCACAGAGAGCCTTCGGCCGGTTTCTGCCAATACAAAAAGGTGACCAACGGAGATCGATGAGGACGCAACCCACGTTCAAAGGTGAAGTTATCACAGGTCAACCGAGCTCGTTCCGCATCTTGCTCCGAGTCAAATGTGACCACAGCGCATCCAGGCGGGAACGACACGAGTTGGACCTAGTCACGGCAATGCGCCCCTGTAAGCTCGCACTGCAATAGACTCACGTCGCGCATAGGGCCGAACAGCTTGAACATCGCGACCACATCTTCGAGGAAGAAGCTTGTGGGCAAACCCGAGATGAAGAGGGTTCGTGACGGACCTTAGACGATACCTCTAAACGATGCTAACAATATGCACTACCGTCTTCGCCTGCCATACCCATCAAGTTCATACCATCCCGACCTGAAAATGATCTTATTCGTAGTCATACATAGATCCTACGATTACCATCATCCCAGGGTATTTGTCGAAAAGCCCGGCCAGTGCTATCCAGAGGAATACTATCACCCTGAAGTGGTGCACTCGATCAATGCTAGTAGTACTAAATGAGTACCTCAGCACTATTTCCAGTACGGCCGAGTCTCAACGCCCCCGCAGTCCCCATAGCTGACGTCATTTTAGCTTGAGAGCGACTCATCTGCAAAGGAAACATCTCTCAAAAAACAAAAGGAAAGCCTAGATTCACCATGGTATCGTTTCTGGTAGTATCGCTAGCTGTTGCTGAAGCGACACGTTGCTTGGCAGTAGCAGCGGCAGCAGCAGTCGCAGCCGCGATGATCGAAGCAAGGTTCTGAACATACCGCCACATACCGCACCTTCGCAACTTCCTAAACCCGACTTTCCTCGCATTCGTATATGATCCAGAGCACACACCAGAGGCATTACTCGCATGAAATTTCAGGGGGCCCAGGATGAGCTCAGCGGCTATCAATTTGAATTGACTATAGAACATACACGTCTCAGTAACAAGCTGCCTACCGCTTCACTCATGTGGCCCGAGCTCTCCATCGCTGCAACACTAGCTGCCGCCACAGCAGCGCTGATCGACGCCAATGACCTTTCGTCCTTCTTAGGACTCTGTGAAGCCGATGTAGAAGCGATAGGGCCTGCTCATCTCCAATCGTTCGAGGGGTCACCACCAAATGTTATGAATCACTCACTCCGATCCGCTGTCGCTCTAGCAGTATCCATAGACCGAGACCTCCCATGTTCCTTCGTTTCGGGTGCACCACCCTTAGCCAAAGGGTGAGCAGGCGGGGCTGCTATCATAGACTACTTCGTCAAGCCTTGATCCGATAGTGTTACCTTGGGGCTTCGGCCAATCCAGTCTCAGAACGATAGGCCGACCACGAAGGTTCGCCTGCTGACCGCTCCCGTACATCTTCATAAACTCTTGCTGTAATAACACAGATCAGCAGGGCTAGCGAGGCCGAGCTCTATTACGGCTTGCTCAGGAGTGATGAACTCGACGAAGGCGGCTCCATCAGAATTACCATTCTTCCTCACCACCTTCACATCACAGACTACGTCCCCTTGTACAGGCCTGTCCATGAATAAAGCGTGCCCACGAAGAGCTCAAGTGATGGTATTACTCTATCATAGACAACAGGTCATGCTCATCAATATCCTTAGGAAGACCTCCGACGAACACCTGAATGACAGCATGCTCTCTTGTAAGGACCCAAGGCGAGGCCACCAACCCTCTTCTTAGGAGGTATTCCAAGCTCATCGTCCTTGCCATCCGTATGATGACTATTCTGTTTCTGCTCCTGTGGCCCATCACAAGCGACAGCAACGGGAGAATTATGGGTCGGCGAAGCGAACTGAACCTGCAGTACAGTGCCAAAGAGCTCTCACTGTCCACTTCTAACCTGCAACGGTCTTTTCATCGACCCCAGCCAGTAATGGTTGTGAAGGCCCCTTATACAGGCCTCGCACTCAGTAACGCTAGAGTATCGGAGCCACGCACACCCTCTAGACCGACCTAGCTTGTCACGTTGGACCTATACAAGACCTAACGTCCACAGCCTTCCGAAGACAGTCTCACCGAGAGCTCCTTGACAATGCCAAATTTGGCAAATAAAGGGTAGAGCTCTTGCTCAGTCATAAAGTAAGGAAGGGCTCCTACGAATAACTGACCAAAAGGTCGACTCATGAGCCCGACAAACACTGAGAACTGTACCTTGCAGCCATCACTAGCCGTCGCGCCAGATGATGAGGTAGCACTAGTAGAGACGGTGGTACCACCGAGTGATACAGCGGGAGGAAGAGCCTAGTCAGAGAGGTAACACCCTAGTCCAGCATTATCGCAAAACATACTGCTTCCAAGCTTATTGTCTTATGGCCGGGATCAGCAGCAGGTGTGACTACCTCCTTCCCTACAGGACGAGTAGTAGCCTCACTAGGCCTACCCTCATACGCCTACCCTGCTCCACAGTAACGTGTCCTTGTCCATCACTCGCTTTATCAACAGACAATGCGCTCACTTGATCACTAAGTTGATCATGAGTAACCACGTCCCCTTCATCGATGGGGCACTCACCATTCACGATGGGCATATTGGAAGTGACAATGGGCCCAAATCTACAGCATACAATTTCGTGGCGCAGTGAAGCTATCATAAGAACTCCTTTTCGAGTCCCTCCATTGATGCACCCTATAAAATCAACACCATTACGTCGGAAACGAGCGACACAAGTGACAAGTCCAGGAACTCCGAAACTCAGAAAAAATCACCTAATTTCAGTATGCTGAGAAGTCATGTCAAAGTAACCACCCGACGGCCCATCGGCCCGCATACATCACCACATAGTACCACGGGGCCTTCCAATACCGTCTTTCCTCATCATTTCTCAATGCATATTCCATCATCACTGCTACCCTATCTACAGGGGATCCATGCCGGTAGTTAGTGGCTCTAATGTAGTTCACACAACGTGATACAAAGAGGAGCTCTCGGGGGAACGACTTCGTGTCTTCGACCAGCCTTTGCCATTTCTCTTTAATACGCTGTTCCTTCTCAAAGCGACTAAGTCCAGACCACTCCGCTTGCCTCAGTTGCTCGGCCGCTTCGGAGTCCCGCCATCCCTCGAGATTTCTCAAACGACTCATCATCATCACTGAAGCCAGCATGTCGAAATCCTTCACACCCCAAGACTCGCATATGGACTTCAACTTTTGCCGATCTCCATGAGCAATGGCACACCAGAACCGCGTGTACTCCTTCCTGAGTTCCTCAGGGAAGTCGGTGCAGAGACCGTGATCGATAAGAACCTAAGCCGACCCAAGGCTTTTCTCGCTATCTCTGAAAATGTGAGACGTGATAAAGTCTCATTTCCTCCGAATAACCCATTATCGGCTGCAGACTAATATCACAGCTCCATAGTTCCCAAAATTGATGGGAAACAAAGTTCCACGTTGGAACAGGATCACACTACATATTCATTGCAGACTAGACTGTCGTGTTGGCGAGCGCTATTTCACACGACCACGTAGGCGTCCTTGCCTTCCCTTACTATTTGGTGAGGATGATATCTTCCAAAGAGCCCTTTCCTCCTGCTAGGATGCCGCCGGACCAGCAGATTGCCTGGATGAGGGTCACAGTGGACCTGATCATAGTACCCTGCCAAGTCGTGTCACCCAGAGGGTGTCACTATTACATGCCCCGTATTGAAGATCTGATGTGCAAACATCTCCGTGCAGTTCCTCACAGTCTTTCCCAAATCAACGCCCAGCACTGCCGCGTCCGTCACCTTCACCGCCTCGTCGATCCACTCCGCCACTATCACATCTTCGCTCGCCCAGAAAACCTCGGGTACATAAACAACCTCGTTCAGCTCGGAGTTCTCAAAGTCCGCCTTTGCTCGATCGGAGTTGGCAGCCTCGTTTCGAAGGTCCATCTCCTGCCGAAACTGGTCCCTCGTAAAATCGTAAGTCCACAACATAGGAATGTCGAAGGACTTCTCCAACGCCCACAGAATGAGCCAATAGGCTCTGAGGTCCCAGGCAACCTGGAAAGTCACGCTAGGTTTACGGAGCTTCACAGCTACACTGGTATAAGGCGAAGCCTTGAGCCGTGCTTTATGAACCTGAGGCAACATGCACTCAAATTTCGCTCAACGATAGAGAAAATTTTTCACGAACTACCATACCATGCAAAACTTGTTTTGATACCACTACTGATGATATTTTGACAGTCCCTGTATCACATGAAAATTGACGGCCACCACTATCGCGGGTATTCTGATGGCCATAGTATCCTGTGAAATTTGACGACCACTGTGCTCTGTCGAGTCAGGATGAACACTGTTGAATTTCAAGTCGAGTGGTCAACTACCCAAACTCCTTGGCTGTATCGAAGCAATGACACATTGTGTTATGAAGCATCATATACCATACGAAAGCAACTACTGTGAAAGATGAGTCCAGTCCCTATCCCAATTCATTCAGGTTCTATCCAAGTTGGTGGTCGATCCAGGCTATACTACACCATGAAGTGTTAGATAGATGGTATTAGAAAGTTCTAAAGGCGGTGGATGACCAGAGATGGTTCCTCACCTGAGCTATCGATGCACTGGCGACAGGCTCCAGTTCGAAGTCTCGGATAACATCATCAACTCCGGACTCATGTAGAAGGCGAAGTACCTCACCTACCAAAACTCTGAGTACCCACCAAATCAAAGAAGAGCACTACTCTGTTCCATTTCCAATGCTTTGTCGTGTAGTTCCTCGAAAGGTTTGTGCATCTCCCTGGGTAGGGCCACTTCCATTGAACAGAGGACCTGTCCTATCTTTACGTACCTGCATCATACGGAAGTTTACCACTCATATAGGACTTTGTATTTAAGGAGGAGCTATAGCATGAACTTGCTGACTGAAAATAGAGATTTTGAAACCGCATTATTTCGAGTGAATCACATAATTAGGTTGATGAACTTTCAGAAGGGATTATACTCTCCTCCCGTTCATCAGTCTTACAGGCCTTCATTTCTCTTGCAAGTTGCCACGATCTCCTCTGCCACACGTCTGTGTACTTCCGATGCATTATCAGCATTCCACACTTTCTTGTATTGCCACCATATGAATGCACCACACTTGGCAGCACGGAAGGCTGAAAGGCTCCACTCGAAAAAAGGGGAAGAGCCATAGACTTACTCCGTCGGCCCACACAATAACAGTAGTTCTCATCGATGAAGTAGATGGCACCAGCACTAGCTGCTGCAGCTAAAGTAGCTTGTACGCCTCTTCCCATTACTTACAAAAATTTAGCTGCGCGGTCCCAACCTGTGCGCATTCCGGTCCCAACACGTGCAAGCCCATAGGGGGCTTGTTTTATAGTGGAAACGCGGGCCTTCGGCCCGCTTTTAACTCTAATCCCTTCTGCAACCCTGTCAAGTATAACCTTACACTAAAATCGTCTACGACTTTAAAGCTACCTGGTCCAAAAGAGATCAATCACTGGTCCAAAACGTATCAGTTTTCAAAAATTTAACTTGTAAGTTAAATTGAGCGGGCCTTGGACCCGCACACACACAAAGACAGTTCTGAGTCTCCATATGTACTCGACGGAGCTTTATTCTCTCTCTGGGAATTCTTATGACCGAATCCTTCTTGCGCGCGCTGAAGAAAAATGTGGAAAAATGTCTCCCGTGGGATTCGAACGCGGAGTCCAGAATCTCGCTCGCCCAATACTGAGCTAACGGTTTCTCGATCCAAATGTATGCGTGCTAGG